GGGATTGATTGATTTGGATTGGACATCAATTGATTCGATTGGCTCTGATTAGTTTGGATTAAACTGGATTGGATTGGATGAATTGTTGGGATTGAGATTGATGTGATGTGAATTGATGGTTCAGGGTGTAGAGCGACTATTGGGTAGAAGATGTGGAACACTGCCCTATATTGCTCCTGAACTACTTGTCAGGTAAACTGATGTTATGGGTTGTTTACATTAAACTGTGACGTATTAGGACAGCTTAGGAACTAAAGCCGTATTATTTATAATATCAAAAAACTTTCACATTGTTCTAATTATAAGGACATTGGAAAACCGGCTTTGAAATCAATGGTTACTAAATGCTGCTTAAGTGGTAGATTCCGGATCTTAACATTTTCATGTAGTTGCATATATACTTGTTTTTGGCCTTCATCACAAATTGTTGTAAATACTTATCATATAAAATAGAATTTTTTTTATCAGTTCTATTCAAAGCAAAGTGGTGTTCCGATTGCCTAGTTATGTCTTGTGTGCAGTATCAATAATCGTATCTAAAATCTTAGATCTGTTGATTCATCAAAATCATTGATTTAACTGAAGAAGATTCCCTTAAGAATGTCCCCAACTAGGAATAATGCTGAACCAGCTGATATCTGGTATGGTTGATGTAATCAATGGTGTTCCTTGTTCCTAACATGGAATAAATATAATTTTGAACCTGCTGATATCTGGTATGGTTGATGTAACCAATGGTGTTCCTAACTAGGAATAAGTATAATTTTGAACCTGCTGATATCTGGTATGGTTGATGTAATCAATGGTGTTTCTTGTTCTTAACTAGGAATAAGTATAATTTTGAACCTGCTGATATCTGGTATGGTTGATGTAATCAATGGTGTTCCTTGTTCTTAACTAGGAATACGTATAAATCTAAACCTGCTGATATCTGGTATGGTTGATGTAATCAATGGTGTTCCTAACTAGGAATGAGTATAATGCTGAACCTGCTGATATCTGGTCATGTGGTATGGTTCTGGTTGCTATGCTGACTGGAGAACTACCCTGGGATAAACCTACACCGGATCAGGTAATATTTTATCAAATTTTTATTTATCTGTAGGGGTAGGTTCAGTGGTTTTTATTTTCTCGAAAAATTATCAATTCTTTGAAAATAATTTTTTCCCTAGAAATTATTTGCTGAATTGGGGAAATAAATGATTTTTAGGGGAAATCAATGAATTTTAGAGTAAATAGTTTAAGTAAAAAGTAGCATTTTGATGTTTTTATTTTTTTCCTCTCTTATCATCAAAAACGGGGATGGTGGAGATGTCCTATTTGATGAAGGGGGGGGGGGCTCCCCTGTATGTATAAAATGCCTTATTTTTCACATCAGCTTCATGTCAGGTAAATAGACAGTAGTAATAATTTAAATTTTAAAAATAAAGATGTGTATTGATTTGTATATAAACGGTAGAACTCAGGGTTGTGGGGAATTACTCGTTGACTGTAGTAGACTTTGACATCCACCATTAGCAAAGGGTGTGAACCCATACTCGTTGACTGTAGTAGATTCTCCCCCCTTCTACCCCCCCACTCTATCGTCGTCCCCCCACTACCTGCCCCCCCCGTCTAATCCCATTACCTCCTCTTTCATCGACTCCTTCCTGAACCTCTCCTCAACTTACCCACTTATGTTCCCACCATCTACTCCCTCCCATCCTCTCTCTTCTCCAATTCCTCCCTCCTCCCCCACTCCTTCTTCATCAAATTCAATTCTTCCTTTGGTAAGGTTTGTCTGGTTGGAGAATAATCAGTTAACATATTTATTTCTTCATCTGTTTATATGTTTGATTATCAAGAATACAATTTAGGTTGTGAAAAAAGAAATCTGTGTACACAAGCTGTTGAAGCATAAGAATATTGTACAGTGTTACGGAAGCAGGTCAGGAATTATTAGGATTTATTGAATATCAAGTTTTCAGGACGCTTTGCCCCCTCTAATTTTTATTGTATTGCCTGCCAACATTCAACATTTGTCTTAATTTAAAAAAAAGATTTCGCAGATTTCTTAGTCTGAATTGATGGATTTTAAAGTTTGTGTTAAAATTTGTTTTTCGTTGTATTAATATATACGACGACGACTGTAATTGCAGGTTGGAAGGAAGACGACAGTTCATATTTCTTGAATATTGTCTTGGAGGAGAACTGTTCGATAGGAAACCATTTATTCATAACATTAACAGCTTTGTTGAAAAATCAATTTTGAGTTAAAAAATTAAAAACATATTTCATTTTCTCTTACTTTCTTTGGGAACAAATATTGTATCCATTACCCCTTAGTCAAACATTGCACAATGCCGCGAGAAAAAACGTCGTTTTTTATTCAATTATGTTTAACGAGAATATTATAAAAATCAAGCTTCTATCACATTTGTGTTATAGAAGGGAAAGTTTTTTTTATCGAAAAGAAATAACTGTTTCCGCCCCGTTAGATAAATAAAAAGGTGTTCGATAATGCGTAGGGGTTTTATATTTACAATAAAACTGGGAGAGAGGGGGGGGGGACTAACTACCATACATACCTATGGTAATAAAAAATTCACCTATTTTTCAGCAAAAAAAGGCATTTTATACGTTCACGGGGCTCCCTGCCTTTTTTTGGTTCAAATCTTCCCATAGAAGGCCAACCACTGGATTTGTGGCTGCTACTGTATTCCCTGGGTTCCTAGCTTTCGAACAAGCCATAGTTTGTTGCACAAGGTCATTAAAGGTCTTTAGAGGTCATTAGATGTCATTAGAGTTCATTAGAGGTCATTAGTGTCCAATTTTATTTTAGTTTTTGAAAAAAGCTCCTTAATAGGGGGGCAGCCATACAATCGGAAGATTTGAACCCTAAATGAAGACAGAGACCGCCCCCCCCCTCCCAACATCAAATAGGACATCTCCACTATCCCCTTTGGAAAATGTACACCCCTTGACTTTGACGTTAGTGTAGTGTAATTGCAAGTGCAGGTGTAAATAAAAACCTTTACTGACCAAAGACTAGATAAAAACTGTCAAAAGACTGTTCAGAAAGAATATATTCACTGGAAGGACTGAAGACTAGATAAAAACTGTAAAAAGATATAAACTGTAACTGTTCAGAAAGAATATATTCACTGGAAGGACTGAAGACTAGATAAAAACTGTAAAAAGATATAAACTGTAACTGTTCAAAAAGAATATATGAACTGGAAGGACCAAAGACTAGATAAAAGCTTATTGTTTAGAAAGAGTTATGAACCTGAAGGACTAATGACTAGATAAAAACTGTTTTTGTTCAGAAAGAAAATATGAACGGAAGGTTTCAAAGACTAGATATAAACTGTTATTGTTCAGAAAGAGTATATGAACTGGAAGGACCAAAGACTAGAATTGAATCCCTGGAAGAAGATTGACCACCTGCCGCTCTCTCTGCTCAGAAAGGTTCTGATGCCCCATCCATCTAGGAGATACAAACTTGAGCAGATTCAGGTGAAAAGAACTTGAAAGGACTGAAATTGTGTGATTAAATGATACATGTTCAAAATAATAGAAAGTATACCAACAATTGTTTTATTCTACAATTTAACAAGAATCCATTTTAGAACCATGTTTGGTCTAAAAAGAAGTTTAAAGATGCTGACTCTTCCTTCTCCCGGTCTTTGAGTGGTACTGGAGCAGGGTTAAAGAAACGTCTCTGCTCTGATCTTGATCATCCTGCCGTGGAACCTTGTGTAGCTGCAAGACAATGCCAGTCCCAACCTCTTCCTACAGGTATAACCAGATAATTTAAAGGAACTTTGCAGAATTGATCTTTTCAATAAATATATGCTATCTTCCAAAAATTCAGATTCTTTGGATATTTATCTTATTTGCCTTTTTCCGTAATTAATTATTTTTTTGAGCAGATGTTTATTTGTGTTCGATGCATTCATGATATATAAAGTTCTAAGCAGGTAAGTTAGATTTTGCTAGAATTAGCCTTAATTATTTTCTTGAAGGACAAGGAGAAGGTTCCAGCTCTTCTACAAGTCCTCCTAGTGAGGTTTTCCATGGTTTCACTCAACCTGCCCAATTGGATAACCTTCTTCTATCCACACAAGGAGGTTAGAATCAAATAGAAATAGTTTTTTTGTGAATAAACAGTCTTTTGTAAACAAAAAATGCTCAGGCAAGACACTTCTTCCAACTAGGCCTGGGCAACTTTCTGTTAACAGTACAAACCATTTATGTCTAGACATACCCCAACCCTGATAAAATATGTTGTAAAAGTGGGGCCTATTTTTATGATAAGCTACTTTTATTAAATTGTTGATGTGAATCGCAATTTGATCATTTTTAATGTTTAAGACAAATAAACAAAGTATGACAAAATATAAAAGAGTTTCTTATGAGTTTTAAATAAAAGATTTTTCAAAGGTTAAATCAAATACAGTTTTTAGGCCTATATTCTGATGAGTAGTTTAATCAATAAGCCCTGCATTAATTGCTGCCATGCTTTTATGGCGGACAAAGTTTTTCTGAACAAGTTTAATATTTCTTTAATATGAACCAATTTCGATATTTCACTTTTTCACCAACATAATCTTCATTTTCTCCTTTTTACTAGATTGTTCTAGAAGTTTTAATTGTTTCTACGATCTTTTACAAATGTTTGTCTAGCCTTGAATCTCGATAATTGATGATGGGGATACAGGATTTGGTTCTCAGGCTAAAGTCTAATTATCTCTTGAATTATTCGTAATTAGTCAGATATATAGTTAGAAAAAAAAAACTTTGAGAGTTTTACAATGTCATCATTTTAATTTGAGACTAAAAAATTTCATTTGATCTATTAAACATCTACTGATAGGTTCTTAGTATTTGAATGCAGGTCATGTTAGGCATATAAAATTAACGGACATCACCAATAACAGTATGTTGCCAAGCCCAATTCTTCCCTACTCAGAAATACTGAGCTTTGTTAACTCATTATACTGGATTCTAAGGCTTCCCAAGAGATTACATAGTAGAATGATAGCAAACATAGTTCTACATCTATAAAAACAATTCCAACTGTTGCCTTCAGCCTGTAGAAGAGTTTTTGTTCATTCTCAAAATTACCATTCATTTTCCATCAATATGGTTTGTTTTCTCACTGAACGATCGTTCAGTAAGATCATCTGTACAATGAAATCATTCTTTAATTAAAAAAATTGTTTAGTTCATTAGGGATCATGTGTATCTTAATTTGTTAATAAAATCAAAGCTTAAAGTTGCATGGTAGTGTGCTAAGCTTGATCTAATGGTAAATTGTGGGTGCCATGATGATTGATGAGGTTTCATTTAAGAACTAACTGTATCATTATTATTGTGATTTGAAATCTCTTATTTTTTCACATATATTTCTATATTTAGTAAATACAACTAGTGCTTAAGTGCTTAAAAATGCTGTTACAACAAATTAATTAAATGTGAGCATGGTAACCAAGTATGCAATGGAGCTGCTGATTACTGTCATGAAGGTTGTCTTCTCCACATAGAAGAGTCCAAGTGCATTGAATGGCTTCTCAATGTTGAGCATGTTAATAGCTAAAAAATAATTTGACATTGTCATGATCTGATTTTTGGTTGTAAATTATTATTTTTAAAGTTACCTATTTGAAGTTTATTTGTATTGTCATCGTCACACTGTAAGGCCATTAAGCTAGATTTTAACATTTATTTGTCTGCTTCAATTATAAATATTTGATCGAAAGTGATTCTAACATAAGCAATTTAGGTTTATAACCCTGGCTTGAAAATTTCCAATTTAAGAGATATATATCTCCCAATTGGGAGGACAAATCTACCAATTAAGGAAAAAATCTAGCAATTGAAAGGAAAAACTTTCAAATTAGGGGGGAAATTTTCTGAATAGGATGGAAACTCTAGCAGGTTTGAAAAATACCTGCCAATTGGGAGGGAAAATCTAGAATTGATTGGGAAAATTTTCCAATGAAGATGAAAATTTGTCAATGAGGGGGAAAATTTGTAATTTTGATCTTACTCAATTAGGGGAAAGGTATCATTTTCTGGCACCATTATCCTACAGTTAACGGGCTAGACAACTGGGCTTAGCTTGTTGAAATTATACAGTTAAGACTCAAAAATGTTAGTAAGTGATACCTGAGTTTATGACTAAATACTGCTAAAACTTGATGCACATCATCACAGAAGCTTACAATGTAGAAAACAAGAAGAAGCATGGCAAGGACACCAAGCACATTAGCTGGAAGATACCTGTGGTTTCCCCTCATAAGTTCTTTAACAGCCAAGAAAGTGTACAACAGGATGTATAGTATTGCACCTGAGAGCAGTGTTTAGAATCATGGTTCAAAACGAATTGGCAACATATAAAACATAACATCAGTAAACCCTTTGGTCTTAAACCATGCCCTCCCAATATTGATTCACACTAGACTTGTGTTATTTATCAATTGTAACACTAATTTCCATTCTTTGGCTGTTATATATATCTGAGATTAACTTTCCAAATTATTGGCAATTTAAGTTAAGATGAAAATTAGTGGGGGAAAAGAAGAAAATGTTAGAATTGGTTTTTGCCTTGTGCGAAAAAAACTTAATGTAATATCATGAACTGGATTTTTCAACTCTGTATGGATCCAAGATTTGTCCATATCTAACTGAAATGGATCCTAAACCCTACCTGAAAGAATGGAGAAGAGAATAGGACTAAATCCTTGCTTAATATTCCTGGTTTTCTCAACCAACGTTACTGATTTCATGATAAGAGTGTCAACATCAGTTACTTCTATTTTTTTGCCCTCATCAATAATTGGTGAAGAGACTAAGGTGATTACCAGCATGACACTAACAATCCCTATCGTGTGAAGGGTATAGAAGGCAGTATAGAGAATTGGGATTGCAATATTCATTCCAGATTTAATAGTTTCGTAAACGTGAAGTACAGTTATGCTGATGCTTAAGGTAGTGTATACCATTAGCCAAATCATTCTGGAAAGTTTATATCTATTTAAAGACATCTTAGACTTTTCTACCAAGTTAGCTGTAAGAATTGGACATATCAAAGAAAACACTATTGTTTGAATAATGTAAATAATATTTGCTATTTCTGATATCGTGTTAGCTGATTGTTCCAGTCGTTTAAAGTGGAATGACAACATTAGTTTTCCAACAATATGACAGGTGGTTGGAATAATACTATGAAAAGTAAATGCCACAGCAGTTTTCCAAGATACAAGTTTAAACTTTAATTGTCCATTGACATCTTCATGAACAGGAATTAGCCCTAAAAGATTAGATTAATGGAACTATTTCTTTTTGTATGAAGATAAAAAGAAGAAAAAATTATGCTCTGTGTCTTATTTATTATTTAGGCGACTGCTTAAACTTTTTTCCACAAGAAATAAACTCAATGGTATTTTGAAGGAAAGATAAAAACAGACCTATAAAAACCAGAGTTTTCACCACATTTACTGCTCTCCAGAATTCAAGTAATTTTAGAAACATTTTATTTTGTAAAGTTTTTAACAAACTGAGCCCAGTAGAAGGTTGTTAAAGTAGAACCACCTTCAGTAAACATGGCTAAATTAATATATTTGAAATAAGTTCAATAATTTACTTGAAACAAAAAAGTTGAAATTAAAAACTTTTTAACTATTTGTAGCTATATGTTAACCATTAAATATGGAGAAAAGCTGATATGGGGGGGGGGCATGAAACGTATTACTCTCTGGAAAATTTAAACATAATTTGGAATTGTCGTTGGAGGCTGATTTTTTGCATGCAAACTCAGAATTGTGTATATTACATGCATTTTTTGGTTTTGAAGGAATATGAGCAAAAGTTCTTGCGCACTTGCTTTTTGTTAAAAAATGCGACTTTTTTGACAGTAAATCAATGTTAAATTCATTAATTGCACTTGAACATTTTTCCTGACCCTCTTGAAACAAATATGCGCTAAAAAAATTCACCTCCAAAGGCTTAAATGTCCGCGCCAAAGCAATAAAAGAAAATATCTTTGAATACTTGCAGTTGCATGAGAGACATTAAACTATAGCAAAATTGGGACAAGGAATTCATTTCTGAGGTCAAAATAGACATTGGAGCATTCTGACCTGCACGCTAGTAGCCAACCATTACATTATAGGTCATCTTAGTACATTTTTTACATGTTTTATGTCGATTTACAGGTAATTTGGCACAAGGAATTCATTTCTGAGGTCAAAATAAATATTCAAGAATTCTGACCAGCCCTCTAGTAGCCGGCAGTCACATTATGGGTCATCTTCCCACATATTTACATGTTGTATGTCCTTTATAGGTTATTGGGCATGAGGAATTCATTTCTGAGGTCAAATTTAATATTGGAGCATTTTGACCGGCGCGCTAGTAGCCAACCATTACATTATGGGTCATCTTAGTACACTTTTTACATGTGGTATGTCGATTTATAGGTAATTTGGCACATTTGGCACAAGGATTTAATTTCTGAGGTCAAAATAAATAGCTATGTGTTATGCTATGTGTTAACCATTAAATATGGAGAAAAGCTAATATAAATTTTACCCCCCCCCCTGCCCCCCTCTATCTAGAAAGCTGGCATTTATTTTTAAATCTCCAAACAAAATTTGTCCGTAAATGACATAACTGATTGTGTGGCAATGTGCTCAGGGAGGTAGTTTTGGGATGCTTGGGCCTGTCTGATTTTTTACCGTCAAACTGCAAAAACAGCCGCATTTATTGTCATTTACAGATTTCAATTGCTTTGGAGAAGACTTTTCCCATACATTGGAGCGCATTGAGACATAATTTTCCCAAATTTGTTTCCGCAAGATGTCACCAAAATTACAGAATAAAAGGGAGATGGAATTGACCCGGCCCACCGTACCATATGATTATGGATGCTTTGATGATGCAGGGTACTTCATTTGAAAATGAGTTTTTAAAGGTTGTCTTTTTTTTACTGTATGTGGTATTTTACTAAACCATATGAAAGCAACCCAATTTTTATATTATAAAAATATATATTTGTATTGCCAATGTTTTTTATCCCAAAAAATGTGTTTGTTTTGCCTTATTCAGCCTATTTTTTCCGGTTAAATGTATTCAATAACCTATTCTGAATACATGTATGCGGAATAAGAACATCAGACAAATATTTCTTAATTAGGCACTGACTGCAAAGCATGTATAATCATATGGTATGGCAGGCCGTGTCGATTCCTGCACGATTATATTCCTCACTCCTAGGTGAAACCAATTTAGCACTTTAGGAATAGGTTTTTAATTCATAAGTTTTGACCTTTAACATTTTGTTAGGGGCAACCCAGGGATCTCAGAACTCCTTCCAGAGACTAGTGAAGAGAATGACAAGGTTCTGGGTTAATACAGATAAGGAGACTACAGAGAAGGAACTCAGGAAAAGGTGAAAAAGAGAAAAATTAAGGCCAAAACTTTTGTGACTCAGAAAGTGTCTGAGACAAAGCTTTGACTTAGAAAATTGACTTTGAAAGTGTCTTAGGCACAAATTGATCTGAAAAGTAAGTTATTGTGACTTAGAACAGGCCTTGAATATAAGTAAGCCAGGCAACTGTGAATTAGACAAAAGTGTGACTGAATAGGTAGTCCTTATTAAGACTTAGCATTGTAATTTAGAATGGGTCTTACACATCATGAAGCTTAAAAAGACGCGACTTAGACATAGTATTGAGTTAGAATTTAGTCTTAGAATGTGTTTAGGGTATATTTGTTACTCGGGAAGTGTTTAAGAATGTGTCTAATGCATATGTGTGACTTAGAGAGTGTCTGAGACATAATTGTGACTTAGAATTGTCTTAGACATAATTATGTCTCAAAAATATAAGTTTAACATAGAATGGTAACTTAGAAATAATTGTGATTTTTCTTAAAATTGTGACTTGGAATGAGTCTTAGACATAGTTGTGACTTAGATAGTGTCAAGACATAGTTTGGTCTCAAAAATATGACGTTGATGTTATTGTGACTTAGAACTAGTTGTGACTTAGAATATGTCTTACCACGACTTATTGTGCTTTAGTCTTAATTATGTCTTATGAGTTTGTCTTTAATTGGTGACCTTGGAATCAATCTTAAAGTCAGAGTTGTGCATTAGAATAAGTCGTAGACAAAGATGTGACTTAGAAAGCTTCTCAGACAAAATTTGTTCTCAAAAGTATGACTTTGTCTTAATTGTGACTTAAAATGTGTCTTAGATAAAGAATGTCGAATTGTGATTTAGAATGAGTCTTAGACATAGTTGTAACTTAGAATTGTGACTTAGAATTGTGACTTAGAATTTGTAGCATGAATTAGACATGGGTTTGAGTTAGAATTGTGAATTAGAAAAGTGTCTTAGGCTTAATTATGTCTTATGAGTCATTAAATGGTGACATAGAATGAGTTGTTGTCTTAGAATAGAATGGGAGTTTTACATATATTATCTTGCATCTGTATCAGTGACAGTTATGATGTTTTAATATTTTTAAAAAGGATTTTTTTTTTAATTTCCAACAGTTGAATTGTATTTAAGAGATTGTCAAGGGCATCTTATTTGTCCAAATTGATAATATATTGTTTTGCCTATTAAAGCTTTTCTAATTGTTACAGGCGGTGGGTTTACAAGATCACTTTTTTATTTCTAGAGCAATCTGGCCCAAAATATATTGCTAATGCGTTTTTTGTGCTGCATCTTAATAAAAGGAAAACAAAATCCCCTTCCCCCCCCCCCCCCC